AAAAAAAAAATATATAAAAAAAATAATTAAAAAAAAAAAAAAAAAAAAGTTAGTTGATTGATAAGAAATGGTATGATAATTTTTTAAAAATATATATATATATGTATTTAAAATTTAGAGAATTTAAAAAGACTTGTTTAGACTTTTAAGTATTCATATGGTTTTTTAAAGGGAATATGTTATATGAATTTTCTTCTTTTTTAATGTTTAAAAGTATTTGCCTTCCTTTATATTATAACTTTTATGGGTATTTTTAAGATGTTTCTTGTTTTTTCTTTTTATGATTTGTTCTTTCATATGGTAATATCTGTATGTTAATCTTTTGCTTGCACTGCAACGTTTTGGAGAGTTTTTTGGCAATACTACTTTTGTCTTCTGGATGGCAACCCTGTGTTACAATTTTGCATACTTGTGCTGCTTCCACATTTGATATTTCGACGATACGCATAATTAATTAACAAGGATATCCTGGCTTTCTAAGGACTTTTTATATAAGTTCCTTGCTATTTTTTAATGCTTATGAGCATTGTTTAGTTCAAAAAAAAAAAAAAAAAAAAAAAAAGCAAAAAAGAAAATTGCTAGTGCCGCACGAGCAAATTGAAATTATTTCTCGAAAGGGATTTGCATAATTTCAGTTGCAGCTTTAATTTCCGAAAAGGATTTCTGCAAATCTGCAAAAAGGACTTTTTGGCTATTTACACGGGAAAATAGACTTTCGATTTCGCATTTTAACAGCAAAACGCGTAGAAAAAGCGCACCTTTAAGTCGATCCCATAGATATAAAACCTGTAAGTGGGATCACTATTAAGAGAATATAATAGCATAAATAATATAATATAATGCATACTTGGCGTTGTTTGAGACTTATCACATAAGGAATCTGTTAAATTAGCTTTGCGTGTAAGCGGTTACTCAACGCATAGCACTTCACACATAAAAGTCTGTTGCATTTTCTGTTCAGAATATTCGTACATACCTCAAATTTGTTATAGCCCAGTTATGCATACATTTGCACTGCTATACCATTTTCACGTAAAAATCGAAACCCACAGAATTCTTCATGTGAAGTGCTATACGTTGGGTAACCGCTTAAACGCAAATAGCTTAGTTATGCATATGCAATATGTGGCAAAACTGTGTATGCATAAAGGCTCCGTTATGCATACTTGGCATGGCTTGAGAGCTGTCACATAAGAAATCTGTTAAATGAGCCTCGCGTGTAATCGGTTATCGAACGCACAGCACTACATACGTAGAAGTCTGTTGGTTTTTGATTTCTACGTAAAAATGGTATAGCAGTGCATGCAATGCCAAGTATGCATAACAGAGCCTTAACTGAGCTAAAAGCCCATTTAACCGATTCCTTATGTAGAGCTAAGTATGCGTACCTGAAGGCTCTGTTATGCATACTTGGCATTGCATGCACTGCTATACCATTTTTACGTAGAAATCAAAAACCTACAGACTTTTACGTATGTAATACTGTGCGTTGGGTAACCGCTTACACGCGAAGCTCATTTAACAGATTCCTTATGTGACAACTCTCAAGCAATGCCAAGTATGCATAACGGAGCCTTGAGCTATTATGCATGCTTACGTTAAATACTTATTTAACAGCTGTGCTGCCTTACCGACAGGTTGCAGTGCTGATAACTTGACAAAAATTATTTCGCTGTCATCGCTCTTCTTCTTGATAGGCATAAGCAAAAGTTTTCCAAAAGTCATCGAGCTGATTTGGTTTCAAGATTGACCATTATATTATAGATAATTAATAATTAATAAGAAAAATATGCCATCCTTGGAGGTAAATGTAAACAAGGTGATTGTGCACCCACTGGTGCTACTCTCTGTGGTGGACCATTTCAACCGCATGGGAAAGATTGGCAACCAGCGGCGAGTGGTCGGTGTATTATTGGGTTGTTGGCGTTCTAAAGGAATACTTGATGTGTCCAACAGTTTTGCTGGTAAGTTAATGCCTATAAATATATTTTTATTTGTAAATACCCTCCAAATTTCTTTAACATTTTCCTAGTACCCTTCGATGAGGATGACAAAGATAAGTCAGTATGGTTTTTGGATCATGATTATTTGGAGAACATGTACGGCATGTTCAAAAAAGTGAATGCACGCGAGCGTGTTGTTGGTTGGTATCACACTGGTCCTAAACTACATCAAAATGACATTGCCATAAACGAGTTGATACGCCGCTATTGCCCCAATTCAGTACTGGTGATAATCGATGCAAAACCCAAAGATTTAGGTCTGCCTACAGAAGCATATATTGCAATTGAGGAGGTACATGATGATGGTTCGCCCACGAGTAAAACCTTCGAACATGTACCAAGCGAAATTGGAGCAGAAGAAGCTGAAGAAGTGGGTGTTGAACATCTACTACGCGACATCAAAGACACTACAGTTGGTAGCCTCTCACAAAAAATCACCAACCAATTAATGGGTCTCAAGGGATTAAACGCGCAGTTGCATGATATTAAAAATTACTTGCAGCGCGTGGGTGATGGAAAAATGCCCATTAATTATCAAATAGTTTACCAATTACAGGATATATTCAACTTGCTACCCGATATCACAAGCGAACAATTCACGGAGACTATGTACGTCAAAACAAATGATCAAATGCTGGTCGTTTATTTGGCGTCTATGGTACGTTCCATCATCGCATTGCACAATCTCATCAATAACAAGCTAACGAATCGTGATGCAGAGGAGGGCAAAAAAGTGGACAAAGACGCAGAGAAAGAGAAAGAGAAGAACAAGGACAAAGATAAGGATAAGGATGGCAAAGATGTAAAGGACAAAGACAAGAAGAGCGATGAGAAATCTGCTAAAAGCACGGAAGATAGTGGCAAGGGTGCTAAGAAATAGGAACGAAAGAATAGGAAGAAACCACATCGTAAGAAGAAGAAGAATAAGAAGAATCATTAGAGCGTTAAAATTTTAATAGTGGAAGCGCAAGGAAGTTTAACAAAAAACCGAAGAACTTGCAATATGAAGTGGAGGAGAGTAATATGGAAAAAATAAAAAATATTAAAAATAATTAAATGCAGCCTACACTCCCTCATGTTCATGATTTTAGTTTAATGTTACGCACGTACTTTACATACAATTTAAAGCAAAAAAGCGAAAAACAAACTTGAATATCCAATAAATGTGTGCAGTGCATGTGGCACTACGAAATACACACTAAATTCCAAAATATAAAAATGCAAAACATTTCACTTCTGAACCACAGCCGATGGTTGCGCAAGCTGGTAATTTCAATCTGCAATACGTTAAGTATGAAATAAGACTGATGTTTTGAATTTTTACATTTTGGATAATACAACTAATAATTCAACTTCATTTGTTTTTTAATGCACACTAAAATAAAAAAATAGCGAGCAATGTTTTTCTTCTACGCTTGCAGCTTAAGATGTTTTTTTCGATTAAAACTAATGTCCATATATTTATGTGCATAAACAATAGTATAAATATAAGAAATGTTTTCTAAAAAACAACAAAATTTGGTTATTTATAATTTTTGAAAATATTTTTTTAATTTTGTTGTAGGAATTTCTAAACAAACGAAATGAATCCTCAGAGGATTTTTGAGCATACTTTTTGCGTGACGTCATTTTGGTGCAATTGCGCGAGAGACAAGTGAAACGCGCAGGAAAAAATTTGAACAATGCGGAAAAATCTGTTAATTACAATATTAAATGGTCCAATTTCGCAGGAATTAATAAATATGTATATGTACAAAGTTTAATTAAGAACACGTAGCAATGATTTTGTGCATGTACTTTAGGTAAGTACGATTTTCAGCACATGCCGGATGTTGGGGAAAATGCATGAAGTTCTATGTATGTATGTAGGTATGCACAAAAAAGAACCACTTACCTTTCCCACGCTTGCCTTTTGTTTTCACTTTTACAATTTGCCACTACACACTTCATTTTGCCTTGTAATGATTCAATAATTGTTTAAAACTACGGCGAAATAGTATTACCTATTACGGTATCCGACGGATGCCATCCGTACGAATCTTATCCGAATCACACTGTCATAACAAGCCAGTGTAAAGGATTCGATTCATGCGAATGACATTCCTAGGATAAATGACAATTCTGATCCGAAGGATGGCATTCGCACGAATCTAAACCTTATACTCACTTCTTATGACAGTGCCAATTGGATTGGATCCGTGCGGATGGCATCCGTAAAAAGTTTGGTAAAAAGTGACCAATCGAAACTTTTCACACACCTCTGGGGGACCATAGGAAAATGGTCTCAAATTTGCATTTTGACACCGGAAATGTAAACTCGATAAACAGTATTTTTGTGCAGAATACCTTTCTATTGTCAAAGGTATTCAACATTTCTGGTGCATATATGTAACTCCGGATACGCCATCCACAATATATGTACGTATTAGGCTGTTACAATTTTGTATGGTGGCAAATAAAAAGCATTTGATCTTACTGTAATAGTAATATTGTGTTATCTTAGGTCTAAGCCAATAATAATTGGCCACGAAAGATTAATTTAAAACATATCTTTAGACCGCGCAATTAATTCAAAGTTTATGAATTCGAAAAATTATACTTTGGCTGGTAATATCTAGGGAATGCGTTCATTGTTATAAACTAGACGAGATATCAAGTGAAAGGTTATTAAATTTAGTATCTGACGTCCATATATCATTTTTCAATAAGACTACAAGTTTTCGAGATATTTAGAAGCGATGACTTTCCCGTATGAGTTTTCAATTCTTCATTACTTTACCAAGTGAAAATGAAAAAAAATGGACGAGATTTATTTCAAAGATTTTTAGGTTTTCGGATGTTTATATACTATTTAAAGGGCCATCGACTTGGCCACGCTAATTTGGTCAGTTTTCAAAATAGTGTAAATGAAATTAAATACGGCTGTCCAAGATTAGGAATCATTTGATTAGTAAGTAAATAGTAGTTTGAAACACATACAAAAAATTAACTAAATAAAATTTAGGTGAGCAACGGCTATTTTTAGTCCATTTATGTATACTTGAAATTTGGAGCGGAATGGTTTCATTAGTCACCAAAGAAGCACATTTTTCGCGGTCTCTAAATTTACCGTTATATAAATAAAAATTTTCGAATAATAGCTCACGAAACTCTTCCAAAATGGGCAAAAATTCGCAAAGTATAACTAATATGAAAAACAGATTAGTATATTTGGATCCAGCGACCTAAGTATACCCCAGAAATACGAATGCTGTTCGCTACATCTTTTGACTAAAGACCAGACATTCCCACGACTGCCGGTTCTACGTACCGGAATGACTCGGGCTTTACCCGACCAAGGGCTGTTGTTTCGGCGATCTAACCCCATTTAGGTCGGCGAAGTATCTCAGAAGTTGTTCGTCCATAGGGCTACATTTGCTACGTATTCTTCTGCTCAGGGCTGGCATCGCGTAAAACCCAGGACCAGAAACCTACACCTGCTGTGTATGCCAGAGACGATTACACCACAACTCCACTTCAGTCAAGTGCAGTGCTTGCGACGGGTGGGGTCACCTCATAGTCTGCTCAGGACTACGGATCCATCGGCAGTGGACCACTTCATTTGTTGCCGCCTGCTGCTCAAATAGAGCAGCCTTCACGGCTAACCCCAGTCCACCTGAGCAGCTCAACACGAACACCACAGCACCACGACACATAGACCACACCACAATCACGATAGACCAACAACAGACACAACCGCACCACCACCCACACGCAGCCGCCAAAAACTCCTACAATCTGCACGGTATGTCAGACCAGGATATTCCGTAACGTAGCATCAGTCAAGTGCAACACCTGCCTTGGCTGGTGCCACTTTAGGGCATGTTCAGGTCTGCGCACCACGCGTGATTGGACGAGGAACTTCGAGGGCCCGTGTTTCGCTGCTCGGTCGCAAACCCCAATTGCGACGCCACCCACTACCACCACAGGGCGGCATCCTCCACAGCAGCGTACACAGCCAATGGCGGCAAGGCAACACACATCCCTCACACCCCGCATAACAACACGTCTCAACACGGACTTCAATGCAAGATCGAGGAGATAACTGTCTTCATGGGAAGGCATGGTATATTGATAGATGCGGCCCAAGATACGAAGTTGTACATCAATTCAACATTGTTTAACTGTGCCTTATACAACGTGCACCGCCGAGATCGCGAGCGAGATAATGGTGGTGCAGTATCGTCTTATTGAAGCAGACTTCGACCGCAGGGATACCACCCTAGAATGTCAGGGCATTGCTATCCGGGCAGGTAATGTCGAGCTCGAAATATTTAACATTTATATACCCCTGTCACTAGCTGCCCGGTAGGATATCACCCTGATATAGGTGCGCTCCTCAGAGGTGAAAACCATATGGTAGTTGGTGACTTTAATGCGCACCACGATCTTTGGCATTCAAGCCTGAACAGATAGACGACTCGACATTATCAGTGGTCTCAACGCGGAGATTCGGCAGCTTGTGAATGTACATCTTGCAGACGTGCAGACTTGTAACTTCGCCTTTGGTTTGAGTAAGCTTTGGTCAACCGTGAGGTCACTGTCCAATATGAAGAAGCAACACGACGACAGGGTCGAAATTTCTTTCGGCGACCATGCTTCGTCGGATCCGGAGCGATGCGCGAGCTATTTGAGACGGCAGTTCATAATGCATCCCCCGATGGACAAAGCCAGGTGTCGAGTGACCAGAAGGCTGCACAAACTGCCGACAACTATCGACACTCGTCAGTAAAGTTTAGAAACAAATCGAGTAAAACCAGAAAAATAAAACAGGAGGTTCCACAGGGTGGTCCCCTTTCCACCAGAGGGAGTTTCGATTGTCTCTTATGCTGACGAGTGTACGATAATGGCGTCTTGGAATGGTATTGATGACTTGTGTTCGAAAGTAAACGGGTATCTCTCCGAGCTTTCTCGGTTCTTCACTGCTAGGAGCCTAACCCTCTCCCCTACAAAATTCTCTGCGACCTAGTTCACCACCTGGACGAAGGAGGTCAGACTACCGCGGGGAATTCACGTCCATGATACACCAATTCCGACGGTGAATAACCCCAAAAATACTCGGAGTAATCTTCGACAGTCTGCTCTCCTTCTCTGCGCACGCAACCGCTATTGTCAACAAAGTACAGAGCCGCAACAAGGTCCTCAAGTCGCTAGCCGGCAGTACTTAGGGCAAAGACAAAGAAACATTGCTGGCCACATACAAGGCAATAGGCCGGCCGGTTTTAAATTACGCAGCACCGGTGTGGTCGCCGGGGACTAGTAGGACGCAGTCGATGAAGCTACAGACAACATAAAACACTGCAGTTCGGACAGCGACTATTTGGATGCCTTCTGATGTCGCCAGAACACCACCTGCACGACGAGGCGAAAATGCTCCCTGTAAAGGAGCATAACAGAATGCTCTACAAGCAGTTTCTAGTTGGGAGCCACAGACCTGGTCACCCAAATAGACAACTGCTTGTAGAAGAGCCCTCGCCAAGGCACGTCAAGAGGCATCTCTTCGAACTGACGGGCGAAGTCCAGAGGTTCATTAAGCAACCTCTGGAGCTGTGAGCATATCGACAGGTCCTGAAAGGCATTCACAGGGAGTTAGTCTCGAGTTATGTAGACTTCAGACCTGTGAATGCCCTTCTAGGCGCACAACCACCGGACATCGACGAAACGGAGCTTCATCTGCCTCGGGAGACGAGAACCACAATAGCCCAACTTCACTCTGGCTACTGCAGCAGGTTAAACTCATACCTGAGCAGATTAGATGCAGATGTGCTAAATGAGTGTCCGGCATGCGGAGAGACACCCCACGACTCGAATCATCTCTTCGTATGCCCGGAAAATCCGACAACACTAACGCCTTTGTCCCTGTGGACCGACCCCATTGAGGCTGCACGCTTCTTAGAGCTTCCGTTAGTGCAGCTTGACGACAACGACTGATATATTAACCGATCTGGGCGGGGTTGTTGTAGCTGCTACAACAACAACAACGAAAGACTAGTGCAGTTATCAACAAAATAATAACAAAGTTAAGTTTTGCAATAAAGTGTCGACCCTTGACTACAAGTGTGCGTAAAATTTTTTTGATAGGTTCACCCATTCGGACACAATAGCCCGAAATCATTGGGCAAATAACTAAATCGTACTCAGTTAAATCGTTATTTGGGCTTCCTCAATCAACAATTCCACCAAAATCACGTCACACATACAGCTGATTCTGTCAAATTCAAAAAGAGCGGATTAGCGTTATCGCGATGGGTGCGATCTCTGCTTTTCTCAATCGTGGTATATACATATGTATGTATGTACATATGTTTACATA